GCAGGGAGAGAGAGGACCTAGTAGCGATCAGTGAAGAGGTGGGGCCAGGATCTGACTCGACCCCTGCAATCACAAATAGGTGACACTTGAGGACAGGAGAACTAGGGGAATTATAACAACGTATAAAATACCGAGAGGAATTGGCAAGGTGAACAGGGACAGAAAGTTTGAGATATAAGAAACAGGAACACGAGGGCACAGCTGGAAGCTGAAAACTCATACGAGTCATAGCGATGGTAGGAAATATTCCTTTAGCCTTAGAATAGTCAGGAAGTGGGACGAACTGGAGAGTAAAGTGGCAGAGGTAGGATCCATACACAGTTTTAAGAAGAGGTATGATAAAACTCTTGAAGGCAGGAGTTAAACTAGTAGCAACCAGCTAAGAGGCAGGGAGAGGTGAGATTCGACCCCTGCTACCACACACAGGTAAGTATATACATACGAGTACACAAGCCTGCATAGTATATAAAGTGAGGGAGGTTATCAGAAGAGTGGCGGATCACCTAGGAGTGAGTTCATACATAACAGCCAGCAAGGCTTTAGGGATGAAAAGTCCTGTGTCACAAACCTAATGGAGTTCTATGACAAGGTAATGGCAGTAAGGCTAGAGAAGAGAGAGAGAGGAGGAGAGAGAGAGAGAGAGAGAGAGAGAGAGGGGAGAGAGAGAGAGGAAGAGAGAGGAGAGAGAGAGAGAGAGAGGAGAGAGAGAGAGAGAAAGAGAGAGAGAGACAGAGAAAAAGAGAGAGACAGAGAAAAAGAGAGAGACAGAGAGAAAAAGAGAGAAAGAGAGAAAGAGAAAGAGAGAAAGAGAGAAAGAGAGAGAAAGAGAGAGAAAGAGAGAGAGAGAGAGAGAGAGAGAGAGAGAGAGAGAGAGAGAGAGAGAGAGAGAGAGAGAGAGAGAGAGAGAGAGAGAGAGAGAGAGAGAGAGAGAGAGAGAGAGAGAGCGTACTTGCAACCCCTGCTGTCAAGCAGGGGTTGCAAGATTTTGTACGAGGCACAAGTACGCTCACACCTTGAGTATGCTCCACTTCCTTGGTTCGTCTGCCCCCTTCTCATCTGCGACTGCTTGATAGAGTAGAGAACAGAGCAAGACGTCTCATCTCTCGCCTGGACCAATCCTGGATAGATCTGTCATTTCAGCAGAGCCTTCAACACAGGAAGGTGTGGGTGGCCTTACTGTTATGTACAAGGCCAATATTGTCGAAGTACCACACTTGGATCCACTTCGAGGACATCGTGAAGCAAGCTTCTATACCACAAGACGGGTAGAAAGCAGCAACTTCACTCTGGCTGTACCCTTCTCCAGAACACTTCATCTGAGGTCATTTATTCCCAGGATGACTCGAGTATGGAACACATTCGTACAGCATTATGATGTAAACGAGATAAAGTCAGTTGATCAGATGAAAATGCTGGCCCACAGATGGCTCCAACTTCATCCTGTTCCCTACTTGAATGTTTCATAACAATAACAATGCTTTCAAATGAGCTGATGTAGGTAACAGCTCTTAGCTCGTCAATAAAGTTAGGAATCCTTAACCTGTAAATAGCTTAGTCAATAAAGTTAGGGATCCTTAACCTACCTTGTCAAACCTTGTGTAGAAAGAGGGAGAAAGAGAGAAAAAAGAGAAAAAAGATGAGAGAGAAAGACGAGAGAAAAAAAGATGAGAGAAAGGAGAGAGAGAGAGAGAGAGAGAGAGAGAGAGAGAGAGAGAGAGAGAGAGAGAGAGAGAGAGAGAGAGAGAGAGAGAGAGAGAGAGAGAGAGAGAGAGAGAGAGACTGCGTTTTCTTGGACTGTAAGAAGGCTTCTGACACAGTTCCACACAAGAGATTAGTTCAAAAGCTTGAGATCCAGGCAGGTATAACAGGGAAGGCACTGCAATGGCTCAGAGAATACCTGACAGGGAGAACAGTGAGTCATGGTACGTGGCGAAGTGTCGGAGTGGGAGCCTGTAACGAGTGGGGTTCCACAGGGGTCAGTCCTAGGTGCTGTTTCTGATATATGTCAATGATATGACGGAAGGGATAGACTCAGAAGTGTGTCTGTTTTGCAGACGATGTGAAGCTAATGAGGCGAATTCAATCGGATGAGGATCAGGCAGGATTACAAAGGGATCTGGACAGGCTGCAAGCCTGGTCCCGCAACTGGCTCCTGGAGTTTAACCCCAAGCAAGTGCAAAGTCATGAAGATCGGGGAAAGGCAAAGAAGGCCGCAGACAAAGTACAGTTTAGGGGGCCAAAGATTACAAACCTTACTAAAGGAAAAGGATATTGGGGTGAGTATAATCCCGAGGACATCTGAAGCACACATCAACTAAACAACGGCTGAAGCATTTGGGTGATTAGGAAACCTAAGAATAGCGTTCCGGCACTTCAGTAAGGAATCATTCAGGACTCTGTACACAGTGTACGTCAGGCCCATATTGGAGTATGCAGCACCAGTCTGGAACCCACACTTAGTCAAACACGTCAAGAAATTAGAGAAAGTGCAAAGGTTTGCAACGAGACTAGTCCCGGAGCTAAGGGGCATGTCCTATGAGGAGAGGTTAAGGGAAATCGACCTGACGACACTGAGAACAGGAGGGTTAGGGAGGACATAACATAAAATACTGAGAGAAATCGACATGGTGGAGAGAAACAGGATGTTCCAGAGATGGGACACAGAAACAAGGGGTCACAATTTGAAGACTCAGATGAGTCACAGGGATGTTAGGAAGTATTTCTTCAGTCGTAGTGTTGTCAGGAAGTGGAATAGTCTGGAAAGTGATGGAGTCAGGATCCATACGCAGCTTTAAGAGGAGGTATGATAAATTTCATGGAGCAGGGAGAGAGTGAACCTGTGAAGAGGCGGGGCCAGGAGCTATGACTCGACCTCTGCAACCACAATTAGGTGAGTACACACACACACACACGTACACACACACGTGCACACACACACACACAGTGAAGAGGCGGGGCCAGGAGCTTGGACTCGACCCCTGCAACCTCAACTAGGCGAGTACACACACACACACACAACACACACACACCACACACACACACACACACACACTTTTGATGAGTTTTCAGAGTTTCTACTCCCGGAGCCCGACCCTGGGTCAGGTTCGTCTAATGCTTGCGTGATCAACCAGGCTTTTGCTGCTGACGGCCCGCTGGTCCACACAAAAAAAGGGAAGTCAAGAATATCAGGAGACTTATTCGCATATTAGAGGCAATTGCAGAGAGAGAACAAGGAGAATCAAAGCTAAATTATTAGTATTAGGAGATTCGGGATATTGACTGGGAAAACTGTGATTCCCCTGGAGGAACAGAAACACGGTGAAAAATTATGGAAGCAACAGGGAAGAAGTTTGTGTAGCAACAAGTGAGGGAAACAAGAGTGACAAGGAATGAGACAGGAAGATAAACCAGCTAAACTTGATCTGGCTTTCACACAAAATAGTTGAAATTACTAATGGAGAAGCACTGGATGTCAGCGATCATGTGGTAACACGTTTTAAGAACATAAGAACGAAGGAACACTGCAGCAGGCCTACTGGCCCATGCGAGGCAGGTCCGTCTCCTACCGGCTTAAGCCAATGCACCCAACCTAGTCAGGTCAGGTCACATTGACTTAAGGGAGGAACACGGCAACCGACCTGGTAGCACAAGCTATCAGGTCCAACTCACACCCACCCACATCCACTCATGTATTTATCCAACCTATTTTTAAAGCTACACAAGGTTCTGGCCTCTATAACTGTACTTGGGAGTTTGTTCCACTCATCCACAACTCTATTACCAAACCAGTACTTTCCTATATCCTTCCTGAATCTGAATTTTTCCAACTTAAAACCATTGCTGCGAGTCCTGTCTAGGCTAGATATTTTCAGCACACTATTTACATCCCCTTTATTTATTCCTGTCTTCCATTTATACACCTCAATCATATCCCCCCTAATTCTACGTCTTTCTAGAGAGTGCAGATTCAGGGCCCTCAGTCTATCCTCATAGGGAAGGTTTCTGATACATGGGATCAACTTTGTCATCCTCCTTTGTACATTTTCCAGAGCATTTATATCCATTCTGTAATACGGTGACCAAAACTGTGCAGCATAATCTAAATGAGGCCTAACCAAGGATGTATGGAGTTCGAGAACAACCTGAGGACTCCTATTATTTATGCTTCTTGATATGAAGCCAAGGATTCTATTAGCTTTATTGCGAACACTTATGCACTGTTGTCTTGGTTTCAGATTACTGCTAACCAGAACTCCTAAATCTTTTTCGCAATCCGTAATATTAAGATCTACATTATTTAGTTTATATGTGGCATGGTTATTGTCCTGTCCAACATTTAGAACTTTGCATTTGTCTATATTAAACTGCATCTGCCACTTCTCCGACCACTGCATCAGTCTATTCAAATCTTCCTGGAGTGCTCTAATGTCCTCGTCAGAATGAATTCGACGGCCTATTTTGGTGTCATCGGCAAACTTGCTGATGTCGCTCTTTATGCCCTCATCTATGTCGTTTATGTAGATTGTGAACAGCAGGGGGCCCAACACTGACCCCTGTGGAACACCACTCGTGACGCTTCTCCACTCTGATTTCTCCCAATTTATGCAAACTCTCTGCTGCCTATTTGTCAACCATGCCTCTATCCAGGAAAAATTTTTTCCTCCTATTCCATGTGCCTTAATTTTCCTCAATAGTCTCTGATGTGGGACCCTGTCAAAAGCCTTACTGAAAGTCCATATACACAATATCATATTCATTACCATGATCTACCTCCTCAAATACCTTAGTGAAAAAAGTTAATAAATTCGTAAGGCAGGAACGCCCCTTTGTAAAACCATGCTGAGATTCGTTGATTAATTTATGCTTTTCAAGGTGGCTACGAACTGCCTCGGCAATTATTGACTCCATAAATTTTCCCACTATGGAGGTTAGGCTTATTGGTCTGTAGTTCGAAGCTAAGGACCTGTCACCTGCTTTGAAAATAGGTATCACATTTGCTATTTTCCACTTATCTGGCACCATGCCAGTTTGTAGTGATATGTTGAAAAGATTAGCCAAAGGTTTGCTAAGCTCCTCTTTACATTCCTTTAGAACCCTTGCATACAGTTCATCAGGGCCTGGGGATTTGTTAGGTTTTAATTTATCTATTTGCCTAAGGACCATGTCACTTGTGACCCTAATCGTGCATAGTTTATTATCGTCCTATTCTACATAATTTATCATTTCTGGAATATCGCTGGTATCCTCCTGTGTAAAAACTGAGAGGAAGTATGTGTTAAAAATTCTACACATTTCCTTATCACTGTCAGTGAGCTGACCCGAGGAACTTTTGAGTGGGCCTATCTTGTCCCTGATCTTACTTCTGTATACCTGAAAGAATCCTTTTGGGTTAGTCTTCGATTCTCTTGTAACTTTAACATCATAATATCTTTTTGCTTTTCTAATTCCCTTTGTTATTTCTCTCTTTAACTGAATATATTGATTTCTTAATTGCCCCTCTCCTCTTTTGATTTGCCTATATATTCCTCTCTTTTGACCAATCAGATATTTTAATCTATTGTTCATCCATTTAGGTTCATTTTTGTTTGATCTGATTTCCCTATTTGGAACATAATTTGACTGAGCAGCTAGAACTATGCCCTGGAAAGCGTCATATCGGCAACCATCACCACCTACCTGACCCTTAGTCAGGTCATTCCAGTTCAGCCCACCTAAGTAATTTTTCAGTCCTATGAAATCAGCCAAGCGAAAGTCAGGGACAGAGACTTGATTGCCATTATTAGGGGAATTCCATGATATATTAAAACTGAGTGATTTGTGATCACTTTCCCCAAGCTCATCATTAACCTCAAGATTATTAATTAGTGTTTCCCTACTGGCAAGAACCAGGTCAAGGAGGTTATTTCCCCTAGTTGGCTCTGTCACAAACTGTTTTAAAAAACAATCCTGGATTGTATCAAGAAAGTCACCTGACTCTAAATTTCCTGTCAAATTACTCCAGTCAATCTGTCTATAGTTGAAATCTCCCATTAGCACAACATTTTCGTATGCAGATGCCTTACGAATTTCGTCCCATAGAAGTCTACTGCACTCCCTATCAAGATTTGGGGCCCTGTAAATCACACCCAAAATTAGTTTTTCTCGGCCCTCGAGAAGCTGTAACCAAACAGATTCAGTGGTCGACGCTTCTAATTTTATATCTTGTCTAACACAACAATTTAAATTGTCTCTGACATACATCGCTACTCCACCACCCTTCCTGTTGACCCTGTCAGTGTGGAATAATTTATAGCCTTGTATGTGACATTCAGAGGGCATCTCTCTATCTTTCAGATTGAGCCAGGTCTCTGTTATAGCAATAATATCTATGTTTCCTGCACTTGCAATTAATCTTAGCTCATCTATCTTATTTCTTACACTCCTGCTATTAGTATAGTAAACCTTAAGGGAGCTAGTCCCTTGCTGCCCTCTGCTGTCCCCCTTTGTTTGCTGACCTGATCTATTGCCTTTATTTATAACTTCATGCTGAATGCCTTTTATACATTTACTGTTTCCAACCCTAGTATGGCAACCTGCTTGTTTCCCACACACACCCATACCTCTATCTTCTATCAGTTTAAAATCATAGGCATTTCACCAATGGCCTTCTCAATTGAGTTTGCAAGTGCTACCACCCCAGCCCCAGAGAGATGTACCCCATCCCTTGCATACATAACATGTTTGCCATAAAAGTTGTTCCAGTTGTCAATGAATGGGATTGCAAGTTCCCTGCAGTATCTGTCTAGCCAGCAATTTACACCAATTGCCCTAGACAACCATTCATTTCCTACTCCCCTTCTAGGCAATATGCTACATATGATTGGGACCCCTCCCTTAGACTTAATGAAATCTATAGCTGACCTGTACTTATCTAGCAGCTCTTCTCTCCTACCCTTCCCAATATCATTTCCACCAGCACTGAGACAGATAATGGGCTTGTTCCCATTACCTGACATGATATTATCCAGCCTGTTAACTATGTCCCCAACACCAGCTCCAGGGAAGCACACTCTATCTCTCATCTTCTTATTCCTATTACAAAAAGCACGGTCAATATATCTTACCTGAGAGTCACCAACCACAAGAATGCGCTTACCTCTGTTATCAGGGACAGTAGTACCCTTACTTTCACTGGCCACTGAAGTACATTCATCCTGAAGAACAGAGAAGCGATTTCCTACCTTCAGATCTTCACTCTTAGCTTTCCTTATTCTGATTCTCCTCCCATTACTGATTACCACTCGCCACTTGTAGCAGGTGCTGGACTGCACCTCACTGCTAGAAGCCTCATTCCCCACAACTCCAGCCACCTCACACTCTCTCCCGGACCCATTGAGGTGGACCTTCAGCCTCCTAATCTCCTCCTGGAGAAGCAAGACCTCCTCCTTCAACTCTCCAACCTCAATTTTTAAAACACTGCAGAAGCAAGCCATGCTTTGTAACCGTCCACGCTAATCCCCAAAGCAGCTCAGGGTCTGTGACCTCACGTGACGACTGACCACTGACGAATGACCACTGACCACTGAACTCAGGGGAAAAAATAAAGGAAGTGAATGACAAGAAATTGGACTTCAAAAAGGGGCAGCATGAGAAATTTTGTGAAGGAAATGCAGTGAGAAAATAAACTAGAGGATAAAGCAGTAGAGGAAAGGATGGAGGTAATAAAGTCAAAGTACCATGATACAAAACAGATTCATACTAAGCATGAAGAAAGAAGAAAAAAGAGACAATTCATTTATCAGTCAATGAAGGTGCAAGAGGATCTGGAGGAAATATAGAGCTAATTCAACCACGGAACACTAAAAAAAACAAGCAGGAGAACCAAAACAAAAAAAAAAAAAAAGTGAGAATAAGGACAACTGAGTGTGTGAAAATACAGCATCAACATCAAAAACTGAACCAGCGATACTACAAAGCTTCATAAGAATAAAGGAAACTGAGAAACATAAAGGGGAGGGAGAGATGACGGAGAATGGCAGAAGTATTCAAAGAGCTTTGTGAAAATCAAAGAAGTATTCACAAAAAAGTCGAGAACTACCGGAAGACATTGTAGTCACTACAGATGAACAGGAGCTAAAGAGAAGAGCAACACAACACAAGAATTGATAACACTACTGGAAGGGTTATATATAATAAAAGTAATGTGACCAGATACTGGTTCTCCATGGGTGCTGAGAGGAGCAGAACCACTGCAGTGCCCATATCTAAAAAAATAGGAAGGGAAGGGGAAGGGGTTTAGACAAAAGACACTGAGGAAGAGGATGGTATCTCTAACATGCATAATGTCAAAAGTTTTGGTGAAGATTATAAGAAAAATTGTAATGGAGCACTTTGAGAAGATTCTTTACAGAAAACCAGCATGATGTAAAATTCTGTCTTACGAGCTTGAAGTTCTATAAGAGTTCAAGATATAAAACAAGAAAGGCAGTACCACACTAGTGATTAACTCAGAAATTAGAGGTACAGATCGGGTTAAAAGACAAGAGTGTTCCAGTGGAACAGGAGCACCTGAAAGGCAGGAAGCAGAGTTGTTAACACTAAGTGAACGAAATACCAGAAGGGATGGCATATTATAAACATAAGTCACCGTTTACTATTGCTGTTAAACTCATGAGAATAAAAACAGGATAGGACAGCAGTAAGCTCCAGTAAAACCTCAACAGGCTGAAGATATGGTCGTTCTGTAGTGAAATCCAAGCAAATGCAAAGTCATGTGATTCACAGGAGAGGACAGACCGGACACAAAACAGCATAGGTGAAGAGAAGGTGCAAATGTCAGTGAACAAAAAGGAGCTGGGGAGAAATATAACATCGAGCATATAGCAGGAATTACGTCAGCAGCATCTGCAAGATTAATAAACTTCGGAAAATTATTCAGGAACTTAAGCAAAGAACCCTTTAAAACTTAATGATATATCCTAGCTGAATCATCGAGTACGTTGCCCTAGCATGGAGCCCACACTTGATCAACCATATCTAGAAGCTCGAAAAAGACCAGCCAGACTAGTATCACAACTAAGAGGAATAAATTCTGAGACTGGCCTAAAGAAACTAAACCTGACGACCTTGGTAGAGGATTAGTGAAACATGATCACAGCATAAAGAAACCTTAAGAGGAATTGGCAGTACACACAGGAGAGACTGTTTTAACCATGAAGACCAAGGAAACACAAGTGGAAGATGATGACAAAGTATCAAGGGACACAGGTAGATGACAGTATCAAGGGACACAGGTAGATGACAGTATCAATGGACACAGGTAGATGACAGTATCAAGGGACACAGGTAGATGACAGTATCAAGGGACACAGGTAGATGACAGTATCAAGGGACACAGGTGGATGATGACACAGTATCAAGGAACACAGGTAGAAGACGAAGACACAGATGAGCCATAAGGATGTATTTCTTTAGTCTCAGGTAGGCTCAAAAACTGAATGACTTGGATAAGGCAGTGGTGAAGGTAACTTGGATTAGGCAGTGGTGAAGGTAACTTGGACAAGGCAGTGGTGAAGCTAACTTGGATTAGGCAGTGGTGAAGGTAACTTGGACAAGGCAGTGGTGAAGGTAACTTGGACAAGGCAGTGGTGAAGCTAACTTGGACAAGGCAGTGGTGAAGGTAACTTGGATAAGGCAGTGGTGAAGCTAACTTGGATTAGGCAGTGGTGAAGGTAACTTGGACAAGGCAGTGGTGAAGGTAACTTGGACAAGGCAGTGGTGAAGCTAACTTGGACAAGGCAGTGGTGAAGCTAACTTGGATAAGGCAGTGGTGAAGGTAACTTGGATAAAGCAGTGGTGAAGGTAACTTGGATAAAGCAGTGGTGAAGGTAACTTAGATAAGGCAGTGGTGAAGGTAACTTGGATAAAGCAGTGGTGAAGGTAACTTGGATAAAGCAGTGGTGAAGGTAACTTGGATAAGGCAGTGGTGAAGGTAACTTGGATAAAGCAGTGGTGAAGGTAACTCGGATAAGGCAGTGAAGGTAACTTGGATAAGGCAGTGGTGAAGGTAACTTGGATAAAGCAGTGGTGAAGGTAACTTGGATAAACCAGCGGTGAAGGTAACTTGGATAAACCAGCGGTGAAGGTAACTTGGATAAGGCAGTGGTGAAGGTAACTTGGATAAAGCAGTGGTGAAGGTAACTTGGATAAGGCAGTGGTGAAGGTAACTTGGATAAACCAGCGGTGAAGGTAACTTGGATAAGGCAGTGGTGAAGGTAACTTCGATAAAGCAGTGGTGAAGGTAACTTGGATAAGGCAGTGGTGAAGGTAACTTGGATAAACCAGTGCTGAAGGTAACTTGGATAGGGCAGTGGTGAAGGTAACTTTGATAAAGCAGAGGTTAAGGTAACTTGGAAAAAGCAGTGGTGAAGGTAACTTGGATAAAGCAGTGGTGAAGGTAACTTCGATAAGGCAGTGGTGAAGGTAACTCGGATAAGGCAGTGGTGAAAGTAACTTGGATAAGGCAATGGTGAAAGTAACTTGGATAAGGCAGTGGTGAAGGTAACTTAGATAAGGCAGTGGTGAAAGTAACTTGGATAAGGCAGTGGTGAAGGTAACTTAGATAAGGCAGTGGTGAAAGTAACTTGGATAAGGCAGTGGTGAAGGCAAACTGAATACACAGCTTTAAGAGCATATATTATGAAGACTAAGAAATCAGTAAGGGTAATCAACGTGGCCTGGCAGACGGGGTCAAGAGGCGAGTCTCAACCCCCATAAGTTGGTGGGTAATGAGATGGATGGGGTCTTGTGGTAGGTGGTGAGTGAGTGTAAGAGAGACTGGGGGTGGGTAGGAGGTGAGAGTGTAAGAGAGACTGGGGGGGGGGATGATGGTAGGTGGTGAGAGTGTAAGAGACTGAAGGGATGGTGGTAGGTAGTGAGGGTGTAAGAGAGACTGGAGGTATGATGGTAAGTGGCGAGAATGTAAGAGACTGGAGGTATGATGGTAAGTGGCGAGAATGTAAGAGACTGGAGGGATAATGGTAGGTGGTGAGAGTGTAAGAGAGACTGGAGGTATGGTGGCAAGTGGTGAGAGTGTAAGAGACTGGAGACATAATGGTAGGTGGTGACAGTGTAAGAGAGACTGAAGGGATGGAGGTAAGTGGTCAAAGTGTAAGAGAGACTGGAGGGATGGAGGTAAGTGGTGAGAGTGTAAGAGAGAATGGAGGGATGGTGGTAGATGGTGAGAGTGAAAGAGAGAATGGAGGGATGGTGGTAGATGGTGAGAGTGTAAGAGAGACTGGAGGGATGATGGTAGGTGGTGAGAGTGAAAGAGAGACTGGAGGGATGATGGTAGGTGGTGAGAGTGAAAGAGAGACTGGAGGATGATGGTAGGTGGTGAGAGTGAAAGAGAGAATGGAGGGATGGTGGTAGATGGTGAGAGTGTAAGAGAGACTGGAGGGATGTTGGTAGGTG